ATCTATCCAAGCACCTATTTTATTTAAAGTACTACCTCTAAAATCACCATTATTATAATAAAAATTTTTTATAGTTTTCTTACTAATCTTTCCCATCTCAAGACTATGAATCTCAACAGACACCATATTATACATATTGTCTAAAGAATAATTATTGTTTGTCATAATCTTATCAAAAAGAATTTTAAAGTGGTTTCTGGTTGTTGAGGTAATATCAGAAAAAGATAATTGACTTGAGCCACTAGAAGAACCTAGAGAAAAACCAGAAAATCTTTGAGAAAAATTGGACATAGATACAGATAGGCCAGCAAATTGTTCAGATATTAATGGTATCACAGAACCTATCTTAGTTATTTGGTTCAACTAGTCACAAAGAGATTCATAATTGGTAGTGATTTCATCAACAGTTTCAATTATAGTATTTACCATTGTCAGAATTCTTTGTCCCTTGACAACAAATGTGGCATTCCATGTTGTAAGATCTACAGTTAATCTTTCTACATATGCATTGAATTCTGCAGTAAGTTGTTGTTTGATGACATACATGGCAAAGCATGTGGCAATGGAAATCAGATGGACAGGAATTTTCTCGACGAACATCAATAGGCACACAAAGGCCAAAAATAGAACAACTTCTGAAATATTAACCAAAAACATATCTATAATAGGAAAAAAGATTATTAGTATAGATACACGAGCATGGATAATAATCCAGCAAATATGCAACTCAAAATCAACCTTAATTCGTGTGAAATAGGTGAAACTAGTGGAGTTTATTTTGTTGTTCTTAGCGAGATTACTATGCTGAAAAATATTATTATTTAGATATGAGATGCAAAAGCTTATTAAATAGTTTATTTTTACAGATATTACTAATAAGAGCATAGAAGAAATAACTAAAGATTTTTGGATCCTTTTTATACAAGATTTCATGACTTAGAATCTGATTCATTGCCTCTGTTAGTAAGGCCAGAACATACTGGAAAAAAATATTAATTATATTATTATCATGTTATTATTGATTTATCATCAAAAACATGGCATAAATTCCAATTTTGAGAATAAAGACCTGGATCTAGAGACTTAACAATACATGGTCTGGGTAACACTAAGTAAGATAAGTGATATTTATTAAAACTAGTATATCTGATGAATATTTACAATTACAATGATAACTATCATATACAATTAATAACTGACTTCTGAAATAACATTAGGGTGATATACGATCTTATTTGAATTTGACTTTCGTAATGCTACTTAATTTTTGGTTAGATATCGGATATAATTTTACCACTCCAAGTATATTTAACGGTAAAGTTATATATAATCGATCATTGACAAATTTATCTTATTTTATTAATAAAAGTAGCAAGACTAATATATCATTCCTTATAATATAAAAACTTCTATAGCAACTTCGATATATAGGCCAAGTATTGTAGAGCAAGCTATTAGGTGATTCAGAAAATCATGACCCAAATAGTTTACTATGTATATGCTACTGAGAATATGCTAGAAAGTTTGAGCAAAAACATGATAAGTTCAGGTATTATTTTATAATGATCGATCAATTTATCCAAGACATGCATAATATCGCTACCGCATGTGATTTAATAGATCGTGGCCCCAGACTAAGATTTGTTCATATGTTGAATCTTGTCTGACATCACACAAAAAATTTGATTTACCATTATATATTAATTACACAAATCTAATATAGTATTGTTTATTTCACCATAGTATATTATTCCAGCATTTGCACAATTTTTGTCGATATACGAAGATCTAGAGGTGGGTATCAAAAGAGATGCATGTAGGATGGTTATTTCTACGATCCCTCGGCAAGATCTCAATAACGCACGAGATCTGAATAACTGAATTACACTCTCCTAACTGAAAAAAAGTCAAATCGAGATACCAGAAAGATCTTGTGATAAGAGGCAGGGAAATGTAAATAAGTAATTATTTAACATGGGCTAGTACGTTTGTATTAATCTTTTTCATTGTATTATGTTGTTAAAAATTACTAATTATAATCGCTACTTCTTTTCAGATTTATTGTGTAACAGACATGGGTTGAAAGCAGAGGACCCACTACCCGATAGGGTATAATTCGATACTTATATAGTAAAAATAATTATATAGATTTAGCAGTTTTAAAATATAAATATATCAGATAATCACTTGTTCTTATTAATTAGTGTGGGTGTAAAAGCTTGAGTTTCAGGTTCAGGCTCTAGATTTGAGTCAAGATCAGAATTGGAAGTATTACCCTTAGCATAATACATTTCAGAATTATGATGATCCATCTTATGCCTTATTGCAATCCTGCTAAGGAATTCAAGATATTGCGAAGTTGGATTTTGACTATCATGAACTCTAGAAGCATGTTTACCTCCAATTTTTCTTAATCTTTTGGCTGTAATACCATATGATTTTAAAAATTTACTAA